TCTTCACACCCTGCAGCAAGGCAAAGCCTCTGCGGGGCACCCTGTGACCCCGGGCTCACGGAGGGTTTTCATTGCTCACTGACACGTCACTGCTCCACTTTTTCAACTGCCAACCTGTAAACTTGTGATGTAATAGAAACCTTTCCGCCAACTTGCAGAGATACCACTAGATAGCGTAAATGTCTTCTCTAGGAAAACGAGGTCTTTTCACCAGGCTCTGGAGAAGACGGCAGATGAGCAGCCAGCGATCAGAGAGGAGTGACTGTTTTGTGTCCCAGCAGAGAAAGTGCTGAATAATTGCAGTATCGGGCCCAGCAGTGCTGGAGTGGTTTTGCAGACGAGGTACCACCCTGGAGCCTCCAAAAGTGTGCTGAGTTTTGCTTATGTGTTTATTTCCTTAAGTGGCGATTGCCCTAGGAAAACCCCAGAGGAGATCCAACGCAGTCAACACGCTCATTTCGTAACGTGGGAGTCTGATCTCACCCGTGAGGTGGAGGAGTTTCACCTGGGATGATGTTGGGGTGACGCAGGGCCGGACTTGCGGCTGCTGGGGGAAGGTGAGGACACCTCCTTCGCAGCGCAAAGCAAACCAGGTTGGAACCAGGCGCAGGTTGCTTTTAGGATGGCTTCGGTCGTCACGGGGATGGGGGTCCTGCCAGGAGAAGGGCATGCGGCACCCTGTGCACCGCAGGGGCCTTGTGGCCCAAGGGTGGGTTCCTGACAGGCGATTTGGATGACACAAGTGTGCTGACAAGGGGCATCCCGGAGCAAAGCACGGCGGTGGGGAGGTGGCGAGGGAAGCAGCAGCGGCTCCCCGGAGCGGGCCCAGCACGAGCTGGCGAGGTCGGCGCTTGCAGAGCACGGTGTGAGCTGCCTGCGCTGCGGGGACCCTCGGGGCTGCCCGGCAGCAGTAACGCGCTGCTACAGCACCCGCAAAGGGGACGAAGCCAGCTCTTACCCGCACATTACAGACCGGTCCTGCGAACGGAGCGGTGTGACGATAAAAAATGCAAAGGAGGAAAAGGAGTGAGGGATCCTAACGGGTGCGTGTTCCCCTTCCCTGACCAGGGCCTTGGAAGCGGAGCAGCCAAACAAGAAATAAAACCAGTGAGCGGCAGCTGGGAGCTGCCAAATGTCCGGGCGCCCGAGCGTCGCATGCTGTGCGAGTAACAGGGGATTTGAGGGCGGCAGCAGGGACAGATTTTTGTAACCATGAGTCTGCCCCGCGTGCCACTCGCAGCAGGCACCGGGCTGCGTGTCCATCGAGGGGGAAGCACTTTCTGAGTCCCCAGCCCTGATCTCCTCGGCTCCCGTTCCACCGCAGCCTCCGCTCCCTTTCCCCGGGGGGTGGGGTGGGAAGGAGTGACAGTTACCTGTGTCCCTCATTTGTCACCCTCCTGCTCCAGGTACAGCCCGCTGATGGGGGAGAGCAGGACAGGCTCCAGGCTGACACCAAAACCGGTACCAAAGCCCCCCCAAACAGCTACGGCATCCGAGCACTGAGCCTCTGTGCCCGGGGCACAGCCTCCGCTCCCTTTCCCCGGGGGGTGGGGTGGGAAGGAGTGACAGTTACCTGTGTCCCTCATTTGTCACCCTCCTGCTCCAGGTACAGCCCGCTGATGGGGGAGAGCAGGACAGGCTCCAGGCTGACACCAAAACCGGTACCAAAGCCCCCCCAAACAGCTACGGCATCCGAGCACTGAGCCTCTGTGCCCGGGGCAGGGAGACCGCCGGTAACGGGGGCTTTGGCTTCCGATCGGGCAAGGCAGCTGCCCAGGGCGGCTTTCGGCAGTGAGAAAGCAGCGGTCTCTCTGGAAACATTCTGGAAATAAAGGTAAGAAGAAAACCATTGAAATGAAAAAGTGACTGACAAAATGTCGAACAACTATGGTCAAGCCCAGCTTTTGCTTAGTGCCGTTTCTTTTATCAAATGACCTTTTATTTGATAAAAGCACAGCTTATGCCTAAAGGAAGAGTAAACCTGGGTCTTTCGCTCTGCTGCCATGTTAGGATGTCCCTTGCAAAACCTGTGGCTGTCTGCTTGGCTGTACTGCCGGCACACCTTTGTTAACTCGGTCTTTTAATGCTGGGACCCGTGTGTTTTCGTGGCGGGGTGGGGATGCCGCCCGAGGCAGCTCTTCCCACCGACCCCGTCCCCGTGTCTGTGCTCCCGCTGGCAGGTGCCCACGGGGCCGTGGCACGGAGCAGCGCTTGCAAAGAACAGGTCCAGTAGCTTTGACATTGGGGAGAAAACATTCTGAACCAGTTTAAAACACATCTGAAAACTAGTTTAATCTAAAACTGATTTGGAGCTGGTCTTCCTTTCCTAGCGCGGCATCTTCCCATTGCTGTTGCTAGCAAGCATTCCGCGACTTTGCAAGAGCGCGCTCAGGTTAGTTGCTTAAATGGAAATAAATTCAAGGTGGAGAATAAGCACATTGATGATTTCTGCAAAACCATGAACAAAGATAAACCTGCATCAAAATTAGCCATTCAGTATCTTTAACTTTACTCAGATATGAAAGTAGAGCTTTCACTCTGCGTGCACTCCTGAAACCGTAAGTATGCGTCTCAGCATTGCCATCAGGGAAAAAAAGGACTAAAATTCGGCTTCAGGAGACAACAGGAAAAGAATAACTTCTTACAGCAATGTCAGGTTGATGAGCAACCCACAGAGATCTGTGTGACAAACCGGGATCCCTCCGTGGCAGTCTCAGGCTCTCGGCAGGAGCCCGCGTGCCGTGCTCGGCCGGCGCGGTCTGTAAGCAGCAGAGCAAACAGAGGCTGCAGGGCATGCGGCCAGTCAGGTCCAGCCGGGCTGGATTTTGCCCAGTGCGGTGTAGGTGTGTTTTAAATTTTAATCTAATCTGAATCTTTTATTGGATTTCTTAAAAGATGGGAAATATTTACTAGTTTGCCTTGCTAGTCTCTCTGGGTTTAAACGCATTTTGCCCAGACTGTTTCATAAAGCAGAGACCGATCCTGAGGCCGTGCCTTGAGATGAGTTTGTGTTCACAGCCGGCAGCAGAGGCTCAGGCAGGACGGCCGCGCGGGTTTCACATCTTCCCTTCAGCCACGGGTAATTAAGCAGAGGCTAAGATCGTTGCTCCTGTTCTCGTTACAGTCCTGCCCAAAGGCCAGCCAGTATCTAATGCAATGGAAGCTGCTTCTGTGAATAAGCCCTGTGGTGGGTGGGAACCCTCGTGGCACGAGTCCGCAGAGGACGAGCCGGCGATGCGCCGGTGGGTCAGGGGTCCGCAAGGTCTGGGAGGTCCAAGTCCCGGGACGCAAAATGCTTTCACACGAGAGTAGGACTGCCCTCGAATCTGGGAGGAAGCAGCTGGAGTTGCTTCTTTCCGAAGCACTCTCCCATCGAGAGGTCATGGTTTGAGGGTACGTCTGACATCACATGTAATAGGGTGTGCAATGAAAATCATCACCTCTCTTTGCATCATGGAGTGAGACATAATAAAATCTGTTGGTTTTATACTTTTATCAAAGTTTATGTACTACTCAGGAGGTTTTGCAGATCTGGCCAACAAATCGATGAGTCAGCATTAACTTTTTTTAAATCGAAAAGTAAGGACACGGTTGCTCCTGCTCCCCAAGGGGCCTGTGCGCACCCTTCAGCTTCCTTGTGCACCTCTGGTATTCTATCTACAAGGAACTTGGTGTTAATCTAATTTCTGCATTGCTGAGTTCTGCTCATTATTGAAATATTGCTGTATTATTTCAGCCCTCTTTCTTCTAGGATGCTGAGTTATACACAGCATTAATCTTTAATTCTGTTCTCCTACAGTTTAAGTCTGAAAAATGTTCTAAGCAGCTGACTCCGGTTTGTTTTGAAATCCTGCCTCAGGATATTAAGATTTAGTAACACAAATTCTCGCCTTAAAATAGCAGCACAAAATGTTCTATTTACTCACAATATGAATGTAAAATATGCAGCATCCCTCACATGAGCAGTGGAAGCATACCGATAGTATCTGAGAGGCAAAGGAATTTGGTGGAAAAAACCAATCCGTTGTCCTTCCTCTGGCGGGCAGCAGCACTGAACGGCATTGCTGGTCCTGGGAGAGGTGCTGCTGGTTCCAGGTCCTCTTCTCCGGCCCCCTCCGGTAGCTGGTGCACTGTAATACCTCTGACTTTTAAGAAAAGTTGTCCTAAACCCAGTATTAGCTTGAATACCAAATGCTGTTAGCCTGAATTCTACCTGAAAGCAGCTCATGCGTGGACTGCTTGGTCCATCTAGCGTTGGCAAAGGTTGCAGGCGACGTTAGAGAGGTGCCCGCTTGCAGAGGTTCACAGAGGTGCCCGTTTGTTCACAGAGGTGCCCGTGCGCACACAGAACACCGACCTCCTAAAAAGTTGTCTCGTTCACTGTGACACCCGCACCGCCGGGGGCCGGTACTCGGTAAGTCACCGCGGGCGCAGCCATGTCCAGCAGGTCCAAGTCACTGAACTCTCGGGGGGCCAGAAGGGACGTGACAAAAACTTTCGCCACTTTTGGACCTGCAAAGCACAACCCTCCCCCTCATACCCTCCCAGGAGGTGAAGGGCCGTTCCACGGCCGCGGCGTGACCCTGCACAACACCCGCTCTGAGTTTCCGCAGGGTGGTAAAACCATGGTCGTGCCACCACGAACCGCTCCGGTGCCGCTTTGCTGACAGCACGAGTGCACGTGCGTAGTACAACCCTTGCCTCTCACCGCAGCTGCTTTGACGTCTTTTCTCCCGCTGGCAGGCAGCAGCATGAACCTGAAGAAGTACTTCGTTCGGGCGCTGCACCGCCTGCAGAAGGGCCCCGGCTACACCTACAAGGAGCTGCTGGTCTGGTACTGCGACAACACCAACACCCACGGCCCGAAGCGCATCATCAAAGAGGGGCCGAAGAAGAAATTAATCTGGTTCTTCCTGACGCTGCTCTTTGCGTCTCTGGTCTTCTGGCAGTGGGGTATCCTCATCAACACCTACCTCTCCTATAACGTCACGTCATCTCTCTCTATTGGCTTCAAGACCATGAAGTTCCCAGCAGTCACGGTCTGCAATGCCAACCCGTTCAAGTAAGTCTTCCCTCACCTCATTTACGCAGTCCTGCTTTTACACCCTCAGGTATGTGGCTAGCGTAAGGTACTGTGAACCTGCTCCTGTCTCGGACATCATGGTAGGAGCATCAGTGGAAATGATGCTCTCACGAAGTGGCACTAAAAACCAGATAAAGGAGGACGACGTGAAGGCAAATGGCTCGGGTCCAGAGGAGGGTTCGTGTGCCCGCGAGTTTGCCTGGTTTTCTGGACTCTATCGGTTAATCTAAAGACGGTTGTTGCCTCCCTGCAAGCTTTCCCTGGCTCAGGGAAAACTCGAAGTTCAACTCCCTTGTCACAACCAAAATCAGTCTCGATCTTTCCCCACAATCCCTTTCTTTCTCCTTCCTCGCTGTGAACGTACCTCTTATCGCTTATGCTCCAGCCATTCAGAGCTGGTCAAACAGCAGGATCAGCTGGGAGCTGCAGTGATGTAACTCGATCGTAATTTCGAAGGAGTAACTGCTTTTTGTTAGAGTTGCTTCGAATTTATATCCATGCAATAGCGTAGCCCAAGGCAAGATGCTCTCAACCAACACCCAGGAACTGTTGGTTTTTTTCCCTTGGCTTGCTCTTTTGTGTAAACTATAGCAAATTACTGAAATACGACCAATTCGGTTCTGCACTGACTGTTCGCCACCACAGTGCTCTCTGTTTATCCTCCTCATGCTTTTCCGCCCGGTTGCGGGCTGCTGGGATGCCCGTGCCCAAGCTGGCTGTGCTCTGCACGGAGGCTCCCGGCATTCTCCAGTAACTCTTCAGGCAGTGATCTGAGGGCCCCAGCAAGGTCCAGGCCAGCCGAGCAGCAGACGACCTGCTGCACATCCCCACCACCTTGATAACTGCTCTTTGTCCTGCAGGTACTCAGAGGTGAAGCATCTGCTGAAAGAACTGGACAGGCTCATCGAAGCGGCGCTGGAGAGGATCCTGCAGCCCACGCCGGGGAACAGCAGCGAGAAC